CACCTGGATGGCTCTGTTTTACCTTTCTGCACTCACCTTCACCCCTGGGGCTGCACTTGCAGCACCCTCTCCAGGGAATAACATGTAGCATACTGGATCCCAGCTGCCTGCAGGCAGGAGTTGAGGACAGGATGCTGGCATGTGTGCTGGAGCTGTAAAAATGCTTCGGAGTGCATATCCGCTCTAACAGGTTGAGCACAGCACATGGGCTTCCTAGTCCGGAGGCGTTGCTGTTCCTCAAGCTGCAAAAGCAGACGGCATTCCCCGATGTGCATTTGGGCAGAGCACAGGGAGTGATACCTGATTCCTCTAACAACTGTTTTCTTGGAGCAGGTACTGCTAACTGTGGCTCCTGGGCTCTTAACTCTGGCTCTTTCCTCATGCAGGTCCCAGACTACCTGGATCACATCAAGAAGCCAATGGATTTTCAGACAATGAAGCAAAATCTAGAAGCCTATCGCTATCTGAATTTCGATGACTTTGAGGAGGATTTCAACCTGATCATTAACAACTGTTTGAAATACAATGCCAAAGACACGATCTTCTACCGGGCAGCCATCCGCCTGCGGGAGCAGGGAGGCGCTGTGCTGCGGCAGGCTCGCCGGCAGGCAGAGAAGATGGGCATTGACTTCGAGACAGGCATGCACTTCCCCCACTGTGTCACAGTGGAAGAGGCTCAGATCCAAGACATTGAGGATGGTGGGTATTTGGTCCCTGCCGTGGGGTACGAGGGCTACTAAAAGGTAAAGCCTGGGCAGAGTCAAGGCACCCAAGAGTCTGAGCTGCCTCTTCTGGGAGGTTAAGTCAAATGTTGGGCTGTGTGTCCCCATTCCCTGGAGACCTGGGGTGGTTTTGCTAGCCGGGTACTTATCAGCCCCATTAGGTTGGTTCTAGGCAGTGGTTTGTCTATGTGTCCTTTCTTTCCTGTTGCATCCTTGTTCCAGACAATGTGAACCCCAGTATTCTCTATACTGCTGATCAGACGGCTTTCCCCAACTAGCTGAGTTCCCACAGGGCTCCTTCTCTTGGTCTTTTAGGTTAACTTCCCTAAAGGGTCCACAGGTGTTTGGTGCCATGCCAGCTCCTTCTCCCCTGCAGAGAACCTTGATTGCCTCATGCCCTTTCAGGTAGAGGAGCTCCACTGGAGTTCCCAATTTCTTTCATCCATCTGCTCCTCTTTGTTTCCCCAGAAGATGTGCGGCTGCTGCTCTCAGAGAATCAGAAGCACCTGCCATTGGAGGAGCAGCTGAAGATCCTGCTGGAGCGGCTGGACGAGGTCAACGCTGGCAAGCAGAGCATTGGACGGTCTCGCCGGGCCAAAATGATCAAGAAGGAGATCACAGTGCTGCGGCGGAAGCTTGCTCACCCGCGGGACCTGGGCCGGGAGGGGCTGGAGCGGCACAGCTCCTCTGCCAGGGGAGTCCTGCAGTCCCACAACCCCTGCGAGAAGGACCTGCAGACAGACAGTGCTGCAGAGGAGAGCAGCAGCCAGGAGACTGGCAAAGGTAATACTCCCACCAGAACTGCCAGTCTGAGGAGCCATGGAGAGCTGCCTCTGGACAGGCCTGTCTGGGGAGAGGCTGCCCTGGCAGGTGCCTCCTTAGGCAGGAGGACTGTGTGGGCAGCTCCCCACACACACCTCGCTCTTCACTCCTCCATGGAAATGAGGCAGGTGGCCTCTTGTGGGACAGTCCCTTATCCCACATCCCGCTGTGGGGACTCCTCCTTGCCTGTAGTGCCTCCCATAGGGGCGAGTGCTGAGTGTGATGTCTGTGTCTCCGTGGGCTCCCTCCCAGCATGCACACTGGATAGTTTGTGGTGATCTGTGCCAGCCAAGCAGGGGGGATTGGATGAAGGAGGCCATGTCCTGTGTCTGGAACAGCCACAGCCTGATGTGTTCTTGCCCCTGGGGAGGGTTGGCAGGTTGTTGGTATTCACATCTGCGGTCAGCAGTGACCTGGTGAATTCATCTCTTTGTCAGCCAAAGAACTGGATGCTGTTCCAGAGATCACAGTTCCAGCTGTGTGGTGTGGGGCATGAGGTGGATTGTTTCCTTCTGATAGGACCTACCAGCTTGGCTGCGTTGCCTGGTTTCTAGGGGCATTATGGAGCAGGCTGCCTTCAGTGTCCCTTCCTGCCAGAGGGCATGGGAGGGAGTTGCAGCAGCAGCAATTGCTGACCTCCAGCTGCTCTCCCAGGGCTGAGTCAAACAGGCCAGCTGCCAGCTCCCTGGATGGAGATGGTGAGCTGGGCTCTGTGGGGAGCACAGCAAAAGCACCAGGCAGAGCTACCATGTGTCACTAGGCATTTGCCACCTCTGCATCCCAGTCCTCTCATCTAATCATGGAAAAAACAGGTTCTTCCTATAGTGAGGGAGGATCTTCTGAGATCATGTTCATCAGAAACAAAGCTGTTTCGTGATACCACTGCCATGCAGTCCCTGCCATCAGGGCTGCAGCTGACACCTTCTCCTTCTTCAGGTCTGGGTCCCAATTCTTCTTCTACCCCAGCGCATGAAGTAGGCAGGAGGACCTCTGTGCTCTTCTCCAAGAAGAACCCTAAAACTGCAGGCCCTCCAAAACGTCCAGGACGCCCCCCAAAGAATCGAGACAGCCAGATCCCTCCTGGGCATGGGAGCAGCCCCATTGGGCCCCCCCAGCTCCCAATAATGGGGTCCTCTCAGCGGCAGAGGAAGCGAGGGCGGAGCCCGCGGCCCAGCTCCAGCTCTGACAGTGACAGTGACAAATCCACGGAGGACGCTACCATGGGTGAGTGCAGCTGGCCACCTGTGCTCCCACTGGCAGCACGTGGCAGGCTCTGGTGCAGTGGTAATGCTCTTTGTTGGGCTGTTTTTCAGACCTGCCAGCCAACGGTTTCAGCAGCGGGAACCAGCCCGTGAAGAAGAGCTTCCTGGTGTACCGCAATGACTGCAATCTTCCCCGGAGCAGCTCCGACTCGGAGTCCAGCAGCAGCAGCAGCAGCAGTGCTGCCTCAGACCGCACCAGGTACTGCCCCTGCTGACAGCAGTGCTGCCCAGGGTGGCAGTGGGCAGCTCTCAGCCTTGAGCTTCTGGATGAGCACCCCGTTCGGTGGTCCCCATCTTGTTCATCCTGCAGCTCAGCTGCTAATCCCTAGAAGTCTGTGGAGTGTGTGCCTTTTTAAATGTGAAACCTAAAGGTGAAAGTGTGCAGCAAAGCGCTAGTAGGAAGCATGAACTAGGGAATTCTGTTGGCACAGTGGCTGTTCTGTCATTGGCCCTTCCAGCAGCCTCCTGCCTGCGCCTCTAATTCGGAAGAGGGCACATCTTCTGGTCCTCCCAGGTGGAACTGGGTGAGGGTCTGGCTTGCACCCTGGCAGAAGCACCATCCCACCTTTCTGCCTGCTAGGCCTGCCAAGTCCTTCCCGGTGCCAAGGCTGGCATTTGGAGGCCACAAGCCCTGGTGTGCTACCAGCCTGGCCCTCTGGAAAACAGTTTCTGGAAGCTTAACGTGACTCCTAGTGATAGCTCTGCTCCCTGTCTCCGCAGCACAACACCCTCCAAGCAGGGCAGAGGGAAACCCTCCTTCTCCCGAGTGAACTTCCCGGAGGACAGCAGTGAGGACACATCAGGGACAGAGAACGAGTCCTACTCCGTGGGCACGGGACGAGGTGTGGGGCATGGCAGTAAGTACTGGGCTGTAGTAAGTACTGTGGCTGCACAGCTGTGTGCCTGGCTGGCACCATCACCCAGGGGACACAGCTGACTGCCCTCTCCTCCTGTACAGTGGTGCGTAAGGGCATGGGGCGAGGCGCAGGGTGGCTGTCTGAGGATGAGGATTCTTCCCTGGATGCCCTGGACCTGGTGTGGGCTAAGTGCAGGGGCTACCCCTCCTACCCGGCATTGGTGAGTACTGCCTGTGATCGGGGCCTGTGAAACCCACGTCCCCTCCCTGCAGACTGGCTCCTGGGGTCCCTGTTCTCCTCTCAGCCCTCCCCTGGTCGTTTTGCAGATCATTGACCCCAAGATGCCGCGGGAAGGCATGTTCCACCATGGGGTCCCCATCCCCGTGCCCCCCTTGGAGGTGCTGAAGCTGGGGGAGCAGATGACTCAGGAAGCACGCGAGCACCTCTACCTTGTCCTCTTCTTTGACAACAAGCGCACTTGGTAAGGCCAGGGAGCCGAGGGCTTTGGGGGGGTCCCCAGAGACGATTGTAACCCTCAAACGAGGTGGCCCCCCGCTCTCCACAGGCAGTGGTTGCCCCGGACGAAGCTGGTGCCTCTGGGGGTGAACCAGGACCTGGACAAAGAGAAGATGCTGGAGGGCCGCAAGTCCAACATCCGCAAGTCGGTGCAGATCGCCTACCACCGCGCCATGCAGCACCGCAACAAGGTGCAGGGCGAGCAGAGCAGCGACTCCAGCGAGAGCGACTGAGCCGGTGCCACCGGCCGCTCCCCCGCCGAATCTCAGGGCAAACGGGGCTCGGTGACCCCCACCCCGTGCAGCTGGCCTGCACCCACGGGGGGCCGGGGGACCGGGAGGGGTGGGGCCGGTCCCCCGTGCCCCCCCCACTCTCCCATTCCCGGTGCCCGCTCCCCCCAGCCCGCCGCTCCCCGGGATGCTGTTCTGGCCGCCGCCGTGCCCCAGGGCGGCCCTCCGCGCCCCTCACCCCCGTGCTGCCCCCACCCCTGGGCCCAGCCCCTGGCCGGCCCCGCGCTCGGACGTTGTTTGTATTTATTTTGAAGGAAGAAAAAAATCTATTGATTCTTAGAAAATAAACCTCCACTGCGGAGCCGCGGCCGCTGCGGGCGGGGAGGGAGCGGGAGCGGGGGCGGGGGCGGGGCGGGACGGGCATGTGCGGCGGCTCCGGCCCCGCTTCCGGCCGCGAGCGGAAGCTGTGCGGGAGCGGCGGGCGCTCCGCCCGCGCCCGTGTCTCTATGGTGGGGGGTGCGGGGCCGGGCCGGGAGGTGCGGAGCCGGGAGCACGGGCTGGGCCGCTGTGGGGAGGAGTGGGGCCGGGCCGGGGCTGTGGGGCAGCTGGAGGCGCAGCGCCGGGCGGTGTCTTGACCCGCCGCCCCCGCGGGTAGCGGCGCGCAGTTACTCCCCGGCCCCCATGAAGCTGCGGGACGCCCCCTCCGCCTGCCCGTCCCTGTGGCGCTGGTTGCCGTGCCCGCCGGCCGAGCTGCGCCTGGACCTGGTGCTCTCCTCGGGACAGAGCTTCCGGTGAGCCAGCCCGGACGTCTCGGGTGTGCCCCGGCCCAGCTCGGCGCGTCCGAGCTGGCCCCGACCCCCCCGTGTGCGGCAGGTGGTGGGAGAGCAGCCCGGGGGCGTGGACGGGTGTGCTAGTGGGCCGCGTCTGGACACTACGGCAGGACGGGGACCGGCTCTGGTACACGGTGTACGGCGAGGAGGATGAACACGAGGAGGAGGAGGAGGAGGAGCGGGATGTGTGTCCCGCCAAAGCGGCGAAGCTGAACGCCGCAGAGACGGAGCGGATCCTGCGTGACTACTTCCAGCTGGACGTGGGGCTGTCGGCCCTGTACCACGCCTGGGGGGCGGCCGACCCCCTGTTCCGCAAGGTGGCCAAAGACTTCCCAGGTGAGGCGGCCCCACGGAGCTACAAGGGTTGGCATAGCACCTGCTCGGCGTCCCCTCACCGCATCCTGCCTGCAGGGGTACGGGTGCTGCGGCAGGACCCCGTCGAGTGCCTCTTCTCCTTCATCTGCACCTCCAACAACCACATTTCCCGCATCACTGCCATGATCGAGCGCCTCTGCCAGGCCTTCGGCCGCCGCCTCTGCTGCCTCGATTCCCGGCCCTTCCATGCCTTCCCATCCCTCTCGGCGCTCACAGGTCCACCACCACCTCGCTGCTGCCGCTGTGATATCGCCGTGGCCTCGCCTGCGCCCACTCACGTCCCTCTGCTGTGCCCCCCCCAGGTGCTGATGCCGAGGCTCGGCTGCGGGCGCTGGGCTTTGGCTACCGGGCCAAGTTTGTCAGCGGCAGTGCGCGGGCCATCGCTGAGGGGCTCGGCCCCGAGGGGCTGTGCCAGCTCCGCTCCGCGCCCTATGCCGAGGCCAGGAGGGTGCTGTGTGCCCTGCCTGGTGTAGGTGCCAAGGTGGGTGCCAGGACGGGGGTGGGACAGGGAGCAGAGAGCAGCACTGGGGGCTGACTGGGTGCTGCTGGTGGCAGGTGGCCGACTGTGTGTGCCTGCTGTCCCTGGACAAGGCGGAGGCGGTGCCTGTGGACACGCACGTCTGGCAAATCGCACGGCAGCGCTATGGCGTGGCGCTGGGCGGCAAGAGCCTCACCCCCCGGGCCTACCAGGAGATCGGTGAGGGCAGGGCTGCGTACTGATGTGGGACCCTCAGGGATGGTGGATGGTGCAAGTGTACCCTCACTCTGGTGTTCACCCTCTTTCTGCAGGCGACTTTTTCCGGGAGCTGTGGGGCCCTCATGCTGGCTGGGCACAGGCAGTGAGTACCCCCCTTCCTGGCACCCTTGTCCTCCACCCCAAGCCATGCCCACCCCATCATCTCCCCATTCCAGGTCCTGTTCTGTGCTGACCTCCGCAAGGGCCAGAAGCCAGCTGGCAGCCAGCATCAGGCCTGAGAGCTGAGGCTTGGACAGCCATGGGAGTGGGTTCCTCTAGGGACACCCCAGGAGGAACAGACTTGAGTGGGACACTGTACCTGCTGCCAGCCTGGGATGGAGGGGTGTGGGCAGCTGCCTGGTGCTTGCCCACTGTGTGCACGGGGGAAGCTGCTGCCCTGGGCAGTGAAGCTGGAGGGGTCAGGGCTGTGTCCAGCTCCCTCAGTGCAGAGCTGAGCCAAGCACCTTTGGCCTCTTGTCTTTATTACAAGCAATAAAATAGAAACATCCATTTGGAAAATTGTCCTTGAACATGCTGGGGTTGAGGGTGTGAGACAGTGCCAGGCCAGGCGTGGAGGGAGGGAAGGGGTGTGGGAAGGGGCCTGGGACAAAGCCCCAAGCTGGGGGGCTCTGTGGTGTGCTCCTGCCCCGACGCAGAACTCTGCTCTGAGGCTGCAGTGGGGGCAGCTCCACATAAGCAGGACAAGCCAAGCAGGGTGCCTGCACACTATCTCCCCTGCTCCTGCACTGCAGAGCCCCCCACCCCACATGGCTGGACCCCCTTGGGCCCCCTTGGAGGCAGCTGTGTGGGGCCGTGCTCAGTCTGGTGGGAGACGCTGAGCTCTGCTTGGGGGTGGGCGCCCACACTCTGACCCTGCAGGGAGGAACAGGGTGAGATCCTGGTGGCAGCTTGAGGGCTCTGGAATGGGGATAGGGGGTTCGGGGCTCACCATTGCTGGTCCCTCCGACCAATGGTTCGCCAGGGCTCGTGGGAGTTGTCTGCCCAGGGATGTCCTGGCTGGTTCCCAGCTGCAGCTTTCTCATGTGCCTCACCACCGCCGTGGCGTTGAAAGCTTGCTACTGACCCCAGTGTCAGCTGGTATGGGGTGCCTGAGGGGCTGCTGCACCCCCTAGCACCCACCAGCACCCCACACTCACCTTCCACTTGCTCTTTGCAAAATTCTTCTTGATCTGCTCGCTCACTGACTGGTGGATGTTCTTGTCCAGGGCTGTGTCCCCGGCAATCCTGGAGCAAGAGAGAAGTCCGCCAGGGCACCCCTATCCCATGGCTGCTGTGGGGGGAGCTGGAGAGGGGGGCAGACAGCAATTGGTCTCCCCATTACCAGGGATGCTGCAGGGCTTGCTCACAGGTGAATCGCTTGGCAGGGTCCTTCTCCATCAGGTGCTGGATAAAGTCCTTGGCTGCAACAGAGCATGGAGCAGCTCTGAGTGTCCTCTATTCCTCTGGGTACTGTGAAGCCACACCAGGCTCACAGGCCCCACTGCCCTGGTGGTCTCAGCTCACCTGAGTCTGAGATATCATCCCAGTAGGGTGAGTCAAACTCGTACTCTGCCTGCAGGATCTGCTCAAAGAGCTTGGCATCGTTCTCATCATAGAAAGGGGGGTAACCACAGAGCCTGGAGGGGCAGTGGAGAGGGGGCTGCTGGTCCCAGGCAGCCTCAAGGTGCCAGGCCTCCAGGAGGGGAGGGAGTGGGAGGGGGGATACATACAGGATGTAGGCAATGACTCCGATGGACCAGCAATCCACTGCTTTGCTGTAGGGCTTCTGTGCTAGCACCTCAGGGGCTGGGGGGGAAGGCAGCGGTGAGGGGGGACCCCAACCTGTGTGGGGATCCCAACCCCACACCTAGGGTGGTGGCAGCCCGTGGCAGGCGCTCACCCACATAGCCAGGGGTGCCGCAGGCTGTGGACATGACACTGCCACAGCCCTCGATCTTGGACAGCCCGAAGTCGCTGATCATGATCTTGGAGTCCTCATCCATGCTGTAATAGAGCAGGTTCTCGGGCTGTGAGGAGAGGAGGGCAGAGGGAGGGGTGACACTGGGAACTCCTGCTGCCTGGTGCCATGACAGTGCTGTGTGTTCCCCCTCAGCTGCTCACCTTCAGGTCTCGGTGGACGATGCCCATGTCGTGCAGGTATTTGACGGCGTCGAGGATCTGCCGGATCAGGGCGCTGGCGTCGCGCTCCGTGTAGAAACCCTTCTCCACAATGCGGTCAAAGAGCTCCCCCCCCGAGACCCTGCAGGGATAAGCAGCACCTGTCAGCACGGCCCCCCTGCCCCTTCAGGAGCCCCACAACGTCACTCACAGCTGCATGATGAGGTAGAGGTGGGTGCCACTCTCGTAGATGTCATCCAAGGCCACGATATTGGGGTGCTTGATTCTGCAGGGGGAGGCACAGGGGGGTGGTGAGAGGGCACTGGGCTGCCCCCACGCCAGCCCCCAGGGGACAGGGAGCAGCCAGGCTCCGTGCCGCAGGTCATCACGCGCCGCTGGCTATTTTGGGCACTGGCAATAACACGCAGCAATGAGTGCTGGCACCGGGGGGCTGTGCCGGGTGGGGGGCACAGAGTGAAACCCCCACCCCGGTGCTGGGACGGCCCCTACTTGTGGAGGACGGCAATCTCATTCTCAATGCTGGTCTCCTTTCCCTCCAGTGCCTTCTTGGCAATGCACTTGATGGCCACGAGCTTCCGCGTCGCCTTCTCCTCCGCCAGGACCACCTCGGAGAAGGCCCCCCTGGGGGGGTGAGGGATGAGCAGGGCACGGCGGCCACAGCCGGAGCGGAGCTGCCGATGCCGCCGTGCCACGATTGTCATGGCGACAGGCAGAAAGTCCAGCTATTTATAGGAGAAAGGCAAGCAGGAGCGGCTGGCTGGGATGGCCAGACATGGACCCTGCCAGCGATAGGATGCCTGGAACCCTCCACCCTCCCAGGGTGGCTGCACCATCCCCAAATCAGGCAGGGTAAGGCTCTGGTGTTACTGAGGTCGAGCCGTGCTGGGGCTGAGCCCCCATGTGTGCTGCAGTATTCCTCTGCTGTGCCATCCTGGAGCACCCAGGGACACCCAGGAGCCAGCCAGAGCTGTTGGCAGTGCTCAGGTGGGGAAGAGACAGGAGGGACAGGCAGTGTGTCCGCACTGTGCTGGGCTCTAAGCCCTGACAGAATTAACCTGCTAATCCAGCCTAAGAGCCTTACCATGCCGTGGGCACTGCCAGGAACCCCTCTGCCAGCCAGGGGACCACCCTCAGGTACCCTCGGCACAGCCCAGGAACCAGCCAGTGCCTGAGGGAGGTGGCACCTGTGCCCCACAGCATGTCCCCTCAAATGCAAGTCCCACCCTGGGCAAGGATATGAGCTGGTTCCATGTGGAGGATTGGGAAAAGCCTGAGGGGCCAGACCCATCACCACAAGTCACTGTCACTGGCGTGTCACCCCAGTCTGCAACTCACGTGCCCAGGACATCTCGGAAATCATAGATCCGCTGAATATCCTCGATCCTCTTCTTCCAGCTGGGCCCATCCTGCCCCAGCGGCATGGTGCCCTGTAGGGCCACCCACTCCCACCTGTGACACGAGTGGGGACAGGCTGTCAGCGTGCTGGGATGGCATGGGGACACGGGCATGACAGGGTGCTACGGGGCGGTGGCTGTCATCCCGGGGTGATGGGAAGGAGCTGTGCGACGCAGGAGTTTTGGCGTAGATTGTCCCAGCGGGGGAACGCGCTGGGACCCTCCCGATGCCCGCCCATGGGCGGGTGCGGGGCGGGCAGACAGCGAGAGGGCTCCAGACACACGCGTAGGTGCCCGGGGGGGTCCCCACCGCCATTCCCCGCGCCCGCCAGCCGGCACAGCGGCGGCGGGCGGGACACGCGTGGGAGCGGAGCTGCGTGGCGCGAGTGATGCGCAGCTCCGCCGCCGCTACTCAGTGTCCCGCTTGGACACGACCTCCTCCGCGCGTGGGCACGCCGCCCCCGCCCCGGCCCGCCCTTACCGACGGCCCCGGCCCCGGGCCCCGCGGCGGAGCAGCGGCGACTCCTCCCGGCGCGGCGCCGCCGGACAGCGCTGACGTCACGCTGAGGGCGGGCAGACGCGGCCGCTGCCAATGGGAGGGGGCGGCTCGGCCGCGGGAGGGGCGGGGGGGGGGACACGCGTGACCGCGGGCGCGCGTGGACACGCGGGAAAAGCGCGGGGAGGGCGGCGAGCGCGGCATCACCCACACGCTCCCCCCGCAGCTGCCGTGGGGATGCGAGGGCATCCCTCGGGGAGACACGAGTGGAGTGCAGGACAGACCCGGCCCCGCCACTCCTCGTTCCCCTCCCCAGACCGAGCCCACCCCCCCACAGCCGGGCAGCGCTGTCCCCAGTGTCACCACACCGTCACCTGCACACGGCTGCCTTTATTGCCGGTGCTCGCGGCAATAGAAACCACCGGAACATGGAGAGCTCGGCCACCCACCCACCAGGCCCCCCACCCCTCCGGCCGCTTCCCGTCCCCACTCCCCCTAGTCCACCCGTGGGGCTGGGATCTGCCTCTGCCCCGCATCACAGAGAGGGACAGGGGACCGTGGGAATCGCACCATCACATCTGGCCCCTGCAGTGACCTGGCTGATGTCACCGGAGTAACAGGGGAGTGCAGGGGGGACATGGGAATGGAAGGGAGGGACCTCCACAAGTCCACGGAGTGCCCAGCTTGGATCAATGACAGCCCCACACAGGGAGGAGACAGCAGCTGGGCTCCTTCATCCAAGTAGGGAGGCTGAGCACACTCAGGGCATGGGGGAGGCTGTGCCAGTTCTGTCCCGTGGTGGCAGGGCTCAGGCAGGGCAGCCCCCTGCCGGTGAGGTCCACACAGAGTGGGTGGGTCCTTGGTCCCTGCTACCCATCCAGCAGCTTGAGGATGCTCTCCCTCTCCTTCAGGGTCTTCCAGGCCTGGTCCTTCTCCTTTTTGGTGGGCGTGCGCTTCTTTTGCCGGGCAGCCATGATCTTGCGGAATGCATCCATCACCTCGTTGTCGGCCATGCGGACACGCTGCCGCAGCTCCTGCCGGTGCAGCTCCTCTTTGGCCAGCCTGGGGGCACAGGGGGGTGTCAGGCCCTGCCAGGCAGCCAGCCCCGTCCCTGCACCCACCCCAGCCCGCTGGCTCTCACCTCAGCAGCTCGTGCTTCTTGGTGCGGTTGTGTGCGCTGAGCGCCTTCAGCTCCGCCTGCCTCTTGCGCAGCTCAGCCAGCACCTCGTCCTCCGAGTCCTCAGCCGGGCGGTCCTCTGACTCCAGCAGGCCCTGGGCCACCAGCTCCTCCTTGATCCGCCCCTCCAGTGACTTG